GGTTACCTCGCTCTCAGGCTCCCACTGGAGACGTTCTTTCAGAGATCCCTATTTAACCAACCGGTGTTTGCACGCGGCCGGGCTCTGTCTTGCGCAGTGTGCTCTCTTACTCTGGGTACAACAGAGTTACTAAGGATGAGGAGATGCCACGGTAGAGCCATAGCTCTTAAGGAATTTGTGAGCCATGAATTTTACACGCACGCCTCCTTTATCAGAACCCCCCACCCCTGGGCCTCGCTGTTCGGGGGCTTTGCACTTGAAGGAGATGGCAGGGTTGGGGAAAGTGTTCAGAAACGGAAGGGGGAGCTGCTCCTGCTTCACTGGGATTAATGTTCCTGCTACCGGCTGCGCACACGCGGACCGAAGCGTACTAAAATTGCACGAGACGCTTGAGTACCAAATTTGATAGATTGTTGTAAGGACAACTGCCAGAGCGCTTTGGGACAGTAAGCCCTTTTCAAAGGGATATCTCAAAACCCAGAGACTATTAGTAACCCTCTAATGTTGGGGCCTTCAATTTTATTTACCGCCATTTCTTTTTTGTCTTAAAGACCAAAAGTTCTGTTTGCGTGAAGAGGCTACGAGATATACCCCAAACCCTGAGGCGTTCGCTTGCCAGGATCACAACTACTGCCAGTACCTGCAGTTCTGATTTGGAGGTGGTTTTGTTCTTTGTTTTGGCTTTTTGCGTATCTAATCATAACATGAAAGAGGGCAGCCAACTAGCGTGTTTTTTTTCCTTCCTCAAAATAAAAACAAGCCTTCTGCCAAAGCGGATGGAACCAGCAAAAAAAAATGGTACTTGTTTTCTCCCCTGTCTGCACGTAGAGGTAGGATAATGCTGAAAAAGGTGTTGCCATCTCCTATTGCCAGTCCTGAACCTACAGACGCGTGGCTGAGCCGTGGGATTTGTTGGGGGTTTTTTTTCCATTGGACAGTAGCTCATTTTTTAAATAACTGTAATTATCAGTATATTTCTAACTAACTGGCTGTAGGTCTGGACGCGTGGTCAGGTACCGGTCTTTTCCTGCTCTGGTGCATTATGTTTGCTATTCTTATCGCTGATGTTTGGCTCCCAGGCAAAACAAGTCAAACATCTCAAACAGATATATGCCTTTTATTTGAACAGAGATGGACTCGTAGATATAAAACGAGCAAGAAGGCCCATCTGATGAGCAAACGTAAACATTGCGAGGCTCTGGGCGCCGTAGCACAACAGGCAGAGACCTGCTAAGGCGTAGCACCGAGCGTTCCGTGACAGGGCGTATCTTCCGAGCACATCCTCAGTTCCGATGGGAAGTCAGTCATCTTGGCTGATCAGCCGCTCATCTGCAGTTTTAGAGAGTTTTCTCTCATTAAAAGAAGCATTTTTAAATCAGCCAGACTGACTACTCGTAGTCCCACCGCACTTAAATAATTCGAACACCTAATTCCAATAAACTCAATTCATAATTTACTGTCTTATTCCTGTAGTCCTCTGGGGGAACAGATTCAAGACCGCAAATCTGCATCTTCAACACCTCGACAGTTTTGCAAACCTGAACTTCATGCCAAAACCCAGACCGGAGACACGAGCGGCCGGACCGTGCGGTATTAGGCGCTCGCGTCAAAGAGGGGGGGAAGGACCGCAGGCAGGGTAACGTGCAGACCTCTTTGCTCGCTCTCCATCATCAGGTCTATCTGGAAAGCAGGCAATTTTTTAATTATGCTGATGAAAAGCATGCCGAAAAAATGGCTTTCATGTATGTATGAAAACGTTTTGTATATGCATTGTTAGGTATGGTGGATGTATGTGTCCCCGATTGCAAAGTTAAGCTTGAATTTGGGAACCTGATTGCGTAATGTGACATTATACCTTCCA